TTACAGTTTTGATTGGCTAAACTAATATGCATGATCGGGATCATCATTTCCTTATTTGGGACGGTCTCTCCTGGACCATGCTCATAGAGTCGACCAGGGCGGTCCCCCCAAAGTGCAGATACACAAGCCGAAGCTTATAATATAACAATTGTATATAATATAAAATTACAATTGACAAGTTATAAATACTTGTCGATTGTAATTTTATATTACATGCAATTGTTATATTATAAGCTTCGGCTTGTGTATCTGCACTTTGGGGGGACCGCCCTGGTCGACTCCTCCTCATATGAGGATTTTACTAATTCACAACGCGGGTTTCACCCTGTCGTATTATAATTTATCACGTTATGTGACATAATCCCTGACTGATATTGTACGAGGTAGATTAACCAATCAGCGTGAATTTCATTGGCCCATATCGATATGTCTTTACTAAAAACCAAATGTCACACCGTATGCGTAAAGTAAATGTTATATTCTTTCAATCTTATACCATAAGGATATGAACTTTGTTAAAGTAACGGAGACGGGCTTAACTCTAACTTACTCTGATGGCAACAAGTCAAATCATCCCGATACTAATCCAAGATCTGACGAAAGTGGGGCCATTTTCACCTATAGAATAATTGCAAAAGCTGAGCAGAAAACTATTCTGTATGCTACAAAACTTGGTAGTGCACTCGGTAGTGCGTTAGAGAAACAAGGATTTAAAGTTCCAAATGGTATATATAGCAATTGCTAATCTTTCTGGCGACGTTATAATCTCTAAATTATATTTTCATTTCAGCTATTTTAACTGATTTACCTGAGGGTTATGCGCTGTTCGAACATATTAAGCAATATCCGCCAGACGAATCGGGTAAAGCAAAACCAATAAGGAAAGACACATATTTATTTGGTGAGTTCATTAATTAATCCCACTTCAAATACATACAAGTCTAACTTTATATTCATAGGTAATGGTTCAAAGTACCGTTCACCCGCTGAATTTGAGGAACATCTTTTATGGTTAGCTTCAAATAAGACTTCTTCTTGTCGTTGTAGATACTGCGATAAAGGATGGAGTACGGGCTCGGATCTGGATTCAACTTCACGCAAAAAAAATGATGTGGATCCTCATCCTAACAAAAAAATTAAATCAAATGTACTTCAGAATGAACCTTTAAATTTGGCATCATCATCTAATTCAAAAATACACCAAAGTGAAATCGCATCAAAATATTTAATTCAAGAGAGAAATCCTAAAGAAACTTTAAATTTAGCATCATCATCTAATTCAAAAGTACATCAAATAGACATCGCATCAAAAACTTCTTTAATACAAGAGAAAAATCCTAAAAGAACTTTAAATTTGGCATCATCATCTAATTCAAAAGTACATCAAGCTGGCATCACATCAAAAACTTTAATGCAAGAGAGAAATCCTAAAGGAACTTTAAATTTAGCATCATCATCTAATTCAAAAGTACATCAAGCTGGCATCATATCAAAAACTTTAATACAAGAAAGAAATCCTAAAGGAACTTTAAATTTAGCATCATCATCTAATTCAAAAGTACATCAAGCTGGCATCACATCAAAAACTTTAATACAAGAGAGAAATCCTAAAGGAACTTTAAATTTAGCATCATCATCTAATTCAAAAGTACATCAAACCGACATCACATCAAAAACTTCTTTAATACAAGAGAGAAATCCTAAAGGAACTTTAAATTTGACATCATCACCTAATTCAAAAGTACATCAAGCCGACATCGCATCAAAAGCTTCCCTAATACA